ATGATGTTTTTGTCCTTGCTAAGAGTGGTGAGTGCATCCCTCTCCTCTCTACTGATGTTGGACAGGGATGCACTCACAGACTAGTATTTGCAGTTTGATTACCATCACCCTTTGGAGCACATGTTGGGAGTCATCAGGACTCTATATTAGTGAAGTTACCTCTAACACCGAAGCTTCAAAGCACGCTTCAAACTCGACAGGGTAGTTATGGTGAAACAGTGGGCCGGAGCTTGCTTCATGTGACGTCACCGATTATGTGTGAACAACTTCACTGCTTCATTCAGACCGAGTCAGCTGACTGCTTCGAGTTGAAAGGCGGAGTTCAAAACATTTGGCGCGATTCAGTGTATTTAAGATGGCTCAAGCCTCGATACACATCCCCGTTCTACACGTATTATACGTTACGAACAGCTCTTGTTTTTTTATATTCAGACAGTGGTTCATTTGAGTCATTTGATCCTGTCAGAACAAGATCCTGGAACTTTATAATTTTGACCGCTCTGATCCGCCAACTCCGCCCCTACAAGTCCAAAGTCATTGCGCATTTTTATTTTGATTATTTATTAAAAGTACAACAAGTGGATGTTCTGGCCGCGCCACGCTCCTGCCAGCAGAGACACGGACTGCATGTCCCGCGGGGAGCGTCTTCATCCTCCTCCAGCTGTGCGCCCTGAGACAGATGTTTTACGCACAGCGTCTCTAGACAGCTCTGCAGGACGCGCGCACAACTGCTGTGTCGGAACTCCTGCATACATTACAGTGCACAACATTTCAGACATAATAAATAAGCTTACAGTAAAAAAAACAAAAACAAAAAAAACGAGTGAAATGTTTGATGTGTATTACATCAAGTACCAAAACAAAGGCACTAATTAGTCAAAATAACAGCGTTCAAAATGTTGAAAATACAATTTATTATCTAAAATAAATGGATGGATAGCTGGACAACAGAGGCAGTGGCAATTGAGATTGGAGCAGAACACACAGGACTGAATTCAGCTGAGAAGAGTTCAGGTCGGCACTCGGCTGTGTGTGTGTAGGTGGGGGGGGGGGGGGTGTTAGGACACCTGACAGACTGTCAAGGACGTGCATTCATACACAGGCTTGTTAATTGTTGTTGATCTCTAAAATAGTCATTTCAGTTCAACCTTTATTTACACAGGTTGTTGGTCTCTTTGAACCTCGTCATTTACAAGAGAGACCCGTTTTTAATCAATTTATTCAAATGTTTAACAACCTGTTAAAATACACCAAAATGCAGGAAACGGCATCTCTTTTATTCCAAAATTTCTGGGCGAGGACACACAGATGCTTCAAAAAGCTTCATTTTAACATCACTAAGCACAACTGTTTCCTAAAGCACACCCTCTCTCAATCCCAGATACTGGTACCAGTCAACATATCTACTGAATCAGCTAAACACATATTGACAGTGTTTGTTGTCTACTATTTCACCACTAGATGTCACTGAAATGAACTTTTGAATGAATGAACCCAAGTTCAATGCAATTGGCAAAGTGGTTCAATACTGCTTTATTGCCTCATTTGGCCATCACTAGTTCCTAGAGTTTCCATAAACAGAATGGGAGGCAGATCTCACAGTTATCAGGCTCCTCTCTTGTAGAACCAACTTCCAGTTTCTGTCCGCGAGGCTGACACATTGTCCAGTTTTAAGACCGGGCTTAAGACGTTCCTTTTTGATAAATCCTATAGTTTGGGTTGGCTTGAGTTTCCGGAGCTGTCCCTTATTTATGCTGCTATAGGCTTAGACTGCTGGAGGACAAACTGACCACATTTCATCAAATAAATAGTTACAAATGAATCATTTATATTTGTAATTGTTTCTATCTCAACATGTGTCTTAATCTTTCCTCCTAGAGAGGGACCTGCTCGTTTCCATTCTTGACCCGTCGTTCAGAGATTCAGATTCAGAGAGATTTATTTGTCATTCACATCTCGTGGTACATGTGGTGGAATGAGATTATGTACACAGGGTCCCAGTTACATCCAACAATAAAATGCAAAAGAAAAACAGTAATAACATCTAAGATATGAACTAAGAAAAACATTAACTAAATAATACACTAAACACTAACAGCATAAAAACATTTTTCGAACAGCAGCACAAACATGAGTGTGTGAGCAGAGGAGCACGCATGAACACAGCAACATGAAACAGATCAGCAGCAACATGATGTGGTTTTTCACAGTGATTATTCTGGTTAAAGATTCAGGAGTCTAACAGCATCAGGGTAGAAGCTGTTCCTCAGTATAATGGTTCTACACTTAATGCTCCTCAACCTCCTTCCTGAGGGAAGTGAGGCAAAAAGTGTTTTTGCTGGGTGAGTGGGGTCCTTCATGATGCATCATGATCCATCTTCCTGCATCTGGAGATGTAAATGTCTGTGATGGTTGGGAGGCTGACTCTAAAAGACTTCTGTGTAGCCTTCTGTGCGTGTGTCCGTTTCTCCTCCCTGTCCTCTCAAACCCAGCCAGTCGAAGCAGATGGCCACTTGTCCTGAGTCTTGTTCTGCTGGAGGTTTCTTCCTTTTAAGAGGGAGTTTTTCCTTTCCACCGTATCCTTTGTGCTTGCTCAGAATGGGAGACTGTGACGAAATCAACACTCAGTGTGTCTGCTGGCTTCCTTCCTTCCTTAGATAGATAGATAGATTTTACGAATTGGCATTTATAATGTATGTGAATGTTTCTGTTCAGTGCCCTGAGATGACTTCTGTTGTGATGAGGTGCTACAGAAATAAATTGAACTGATCCAACAAAGTTTAGTCAGGTCCTCTGGACGGTTTCTTCGCATTGCAAAGTTTTGTCTTTGAATTCAATTAACAGACAGCTGGTACGGACAAGTTTGAACAAAACAGTTAATGACCTGCTGATTTTTCATACAACAGGTTGAATAAATTTGCTACCCAGAGTTAGACGGCAGGTTTTTAAAGAGCAGCACAGTCCAGCTTCAGCAGTTTGGGATTTAAAAGCCTGGTACGGACTGGATCTGACCCTTCTTCCCATCTCACCGTGTCTGTTAGTGAACAATTAATATTTAATAATATTTGAACATTTCTGACTGAACCTAGCATCAGCTGCGGCAGATTGACACAAAGGCCCTCTCCCCTCCCCCAGCCAGAACAATAAGGGGGAACTACAGCCTGGACAAATTACAAAGAACCCATCAAAGATAACCAAGAGCACAGGATTTATGAGCACTTACCTGTACTGAGCAGCAGCTCCATGAGTAAATCCAAAATAATTGCCGGTAGCCATTTTAGCATCTTCACCGAGCCGGCTGGGCACTGCGGAGGACACAGATGAGGCTAAGCTAACCGATGCACAACGCTACATTTAGCATCGCGGTTAACGCTCAAAACCCGTTTTTAACGAACTAATTTTCAAATAAATAACGTCGAACTTTCTATCGATACTCACCATAGGTGAAGGAGACAACTGGGCATATAGGAATCATTTGTTTTGTATGTTTTATCGATGCCTCGGTGTATAACAGCCTCTTATTACATGTCGCACCCGGAAACGCTACATTTGAGCATGCGCAGAACATGATACGTGAGGGAGCATAGATATAAACACTAGATCCCTCATTGGCTGCGGCAAGCAGAGTTTTCGGCCGCCATCTTGGAACGGTCCTTATTTGGTTAAAGCAGAAGACGTCTCAGCACTTCGCAGCTTATTTCTGTTCTAATCGACGGACTGTTGACGTCAGGTCTCGGGGGATAACTTTTCACAAGTAAGATGAACATATTATTGTTAGTATTTTGTGAATATAATATTACTGTACTGTATTTATGTCCACCAGCTGATGTGATGTTCAGTGTAACACGGTGTTCAGCTGCAATGAAGCTAACTGAGATCTGATGACAGGATTATTTTTCTAACAAGCATACTCACTATTTCAGTAGCTTTGGTTCATTATCAAGAGATATGCATCAAAACTGGAGTTTTGTTTAAGTTCTAGGAAATTAAAAAATAAAACTAGGGAGAACATAGGAAATAGAAAATAAGATTGACCTCCTTTGTACAATGTTTTTGTGTAGACACAAATCTCCTGTTTTCATTTTGAAGGTTTCCCAAAGAACAAGATGTGAGGAAGAGGAGGAAGTATCTTTGAGGAGGATTCATCTGAGCAGTGAGGATTTTAAACTGGAGGATTTTGATCAAACTGATCAGACTGTCCGACTGAGAGATGGTGTGGTACCATCGGTTCACCTTCAAAGAGTAGGAGCATCATTATAAGTTCATTAATGTTCAT